TGAGTGACCAGTGATGTTGAACATTTTTTCATGTATTTATTTGCTATTTCTACTTCTTTATCTGAGAAATGTCTGTTCATTTCAGCTGCCCAGGTTTGGACTGGGTCTTTAATTTTGGGAGGTCTGATCTTTTTAAGTTCTTTTTAGATTCGAGATAGTAGACCTTTGTCTGAGGAAGAGCAGGTGAAGATTTTTTCCCACATTGTGGGTTGTCTCTTCACACTGCTGAGGAATCTACCTTCTTAAACACATACTTCTGAATGATTCTCCTGATCAGGATATTATGAGACACAGAAAGTTAACACAATAACAAAAATATTGCATCATCAAAGGATTAGAAAACAGCCTGCAAATTGTGTAGGAATGAAACAGAGATTGCCTATGAGAAACTTGTGTTCGGGCTAGTGAGTTATGAGAGCATATAAAAAGCATAGAGGACTCCCCCTTAGAGAGTAGGGAGTTTGGTTAGGCATTATAGGCATTATGCTTCCTTGGACAGGGCTGGTAAGGGGTCCCATGGAGAAAAAGAAAGATCTGGCCCATGAGTCTCAAAATCTTTGAAGGAAAAATGTCCCCCTCTGATTCCCAAGGTTGTGGCAGCAGAAGATACCCAATGAGTAACTGGAGAAGAAACTATCATAGTGGCTTCCCAAAATCATTGCCCAGAGAACCAAGTCAGATCCTGACTTGGCCCTTTGGAGTTTAAGGTCCCGAGTCTGTTGGATGGGCCACATCAGACCCCATCTCAGAACTTATTTCCATTTTACTTTATTGTTCTCCCTTTTCAGTATATTGATGCTAGTATCTCACAAAATTGAAAGCAGAGGAAAAGGCATCCCAGCAGAGGACGAAAGAAAGGGAGGAAGGGATTGAAAACAATCAGAGTGTGAGTAGGGATTACACAAAATGGAAAAGGCTCCATAAGACACATGTTGGTGGTGCATAGCAGGGCACTGTGCTGGAGGCCCAGCAGGCCCACAGAGTGGCAGGAGAGATTCACAGCTGACATTTGGAACAATGGCTCCTGAATAGCAACCTTCTCTCACAGTAGACCTCCAGCCCTCCCCTCAACTCCTTGACTCCTGAAGGCCAGTGAAGAGATTCCAGGCTCTTTTTTGTTACCCTTTTCTACACCACTGGTTGCCCTGGCAACCACTGCAGCTGGCCCCTGGTCTTCCAAAGCAGGCGTTGTAATGAGAATCTCAGGCAGGTTTGTTCTGCTTGGACAGCTTAGAGGACAATAGGTGGAATGCTGGCCAAACAGCTCTGGTTTCAGGACTGTCCCCAAAGACATGACACACACATACACCAAATAAGGGGAGTGAACAGGATTTAGGAGGAAAGGTGAGGAGAGGGACACAGAAGCCATTCAGCTAAGAGTGAAAGCAGTGGAGAAATGGGGTGTACTGAACTTTCCCATCACAAGCTTTGGGGCACTTGGGCTGGATGACAGTCCTCAGGGGGAAGGATCTGAGGCTGATCAAATAATAGTGACTACAATGTCTTTGCCTATCCTGATTCTTCGTTTGTTGTTTTTAACCAGTGACTTAATGAAAACATGCTGACCAGATCTGCAGATTACGTACAGCTGCAAGAAAGAGCAAACGTCTTTCAGAGGATGGAACTGGTCTTCAAATCAACTGGATCTGAATCCTAATTCCAGTATTTATAAGCTGCATCTCCTTGAGGAAGTTACTTAATTTTTCTGGGTGTCAATTGCCTCATCTATTCAGTGGAGGCACTTAAATTACCTCCCTCCTAAGGTTTTTGTGAAAATTGAGACAATATTTTTTATATAAAGCACTTAGAACAAGTAAATACTTACCCTGGGTGCTACTCTACAGTGATGCATCTGTGTGTTTTCAAGAGGTTGAGGGACAGGAATTTAGCTCAGTGGCACCAGGCCTCCCTCACAAGCACAAGGTCCTGAGTTCGATCCCTGATGAAAAAGGGAGAGAGAGAGAGAGAGAGAGAGAGAGAGATTGACGAGCATTTTTACCTCAAAGGCCCTAGATTAAAAATGCCCTCACTGCACTGTTCAGCCCTTAAACCCCTAAACACCCTTGATATGTCAGGCTGTCCCTGGCCACTCCCTCCAGGGTATAAGAGGGACCAAAGATCCCTTCCCAGGACAGCCTGAAGCTACAGTCACCCAAGCTGGTCCTGTGGCATTTGGAAGACCTACTAAAGAGAGACTTGTCCCTTCTATGACTGATCCTCAAGCACCCAGACCTCTGAGGATCTGTAGTTGCTGGAAAAACAATCCTTTCCACTACCAACTCCATACCAGCTTATGCTGTAGCCATGGGGAAGACAGCACTAAAATGCCTTTCCTTAGCTGTGGAATTTTTCTTCTTTCCCACTGAGTTTTGGAGGGAGTGGAGAGGGCACTGCCCAGTGTTCTATAAATACCTACTGTCCAGGGGGGGAAGACACCACTTTAGTTCAAATCCTGGAAGCTTTGCTGGTAAGCAGCTCAACACATTGCCTCAAATGCCATCATCCTCTGGAACTTTAGCCAAGAATCTTCCATCTTAACTTCTCCTCATTAACACAGTAGTATTAATCTCAGGATGGTCTGGAACCTTCCTATCCACCCAAACTGTTTGGAAAAGCAATTTGCACAATACTTTGCAAGAACACAGCCACTGTCTCTAGGAGAGTAAATCTCAGGTAGGCAACCCTATAGTCTTTAAAAGCTTTATAACAGTCCCTGCATTTCAGAATCACATTCTCTCCCACTTTTCTACAAAGCCGAAACAGATTTGGAACAACCAAAACTATACAAAAAAGCCAAAATCCACACTGAAAAACTGACAAAACTTCATCTTAAAATCTAAATTGGTCTCTTCCCATTTGTCCTGACCCACATTTTAAATTTTATTTCCACTTTATTTATTTTGCAAATACTATAAGCATATGATGCAGCTACTATCCTAAAGACTTTGCAAACAATGCCTCATTTGATCCTCATAACAGTTCCATAAAGAAGATGCTATTATTCCCATCCCAATCTTCAGAGGGAGAAACTGAGGCATAGTATATAGCCAGTAAATAGTCAAGTTAGGAACCAGACAAAGCAGTGTGAGTCCATGACCTTAACCCACTATGTTGCCTTTCACTCTGCCTTGCTCGTTGGCATTTTCTAGACAGCCTGGAAGCTTTTAGAAGATTCTAGAAGGCAGAGATCACATGTCTTCATGGAACATCTTATAGTGGGTGCCAGAGACAATTCACAAATGCATTGTGATGATGTTGCTAACTGTTACCAGTAGCCACAATGCCCCCAAAGTGTCATTTACCTCCAAGTCTCTAATTAAAAACTATAGCTTCTCTCTGCAGGAGCTTCTGCTTCCTACAATCTGCCCAAATATCCTAGGAACAAGGAGAGCCACTCAAGGACCCTTCGAGGATCCAGGGCTGGGAAGGTGCACAGTCTCAGCTTGCCTGCTCTCCAGGCAGGCAGCTTCCCTGCAGTGATCTGCTTGACCTTGCTGTGACCTGCCACCACACCCCTTCCGGCTTCCTGGACTGCAAACCAGCATCTTCACTCTCATTGTTCTTTGAGGAAATTTGGCAGCAAGCACAGTTTCTTCCAAGCCCCCAGCTCTGCACATGAAAGGCAAGCTTCAAGGCCCCCCGGAGGCCTAGAAGGCTCCTGCCAGAGCCTGCAGCTTAGGGAGTGGCCTTGTCTCTTTTGTTAGTGACCTGACCTGGAGCTGCTGAGCTGAAAGAGAACACTAGCTGGCACTGGGATGCCTGGCTTTAAATTGCACTCTCAGTGACTTGCCTGGCCCTGCTTGTGCTGGTGACACAGATGGAAGGGCATCCAGGAAAACCTTAGAAGGGTTACAGTCACTCTCCTCAGGAATGTCACAAGCTTGATGCTAGCAGAACCCTCACATGGGCCATGGATGGTAGACAGGGTGCTCTGTTCTCCAGCCTTGGCTGTTGTTCATTCCCTTCCTCATTCCTATAGGAGGGTTGACTTTTAGCATCCACACAAGAGCTTTATTTTGAGAGGCCCTCTATGTTAACTAGAGCAGGGTCTGCTCTAAAGAACAGGACAGTTGGTAGTCTTACTAGGAATTCCTACCTTGAATTTGGGGGCTTCTCCTACCTGCCCTCTGAGGCTGGTCGGTGAGAATGAAATGTGACTGCAAACAGAAAAACAAGCAAATATTATGCACCATCAGCTAGCAAGATGCTGCTTTCTGTGATAGACTGTCTCTGATTCTCCTTGCAGAAACCAGGGGGCACTTGAAGTTGATACAAACACCCATGTTCTGCAAATATTGCTCCAGTAGGTATGGGGTTGTGTTTTCACAGCAACCCTACAATGCTGATGGGGTGGTTTTTATTATGCACATTTTACAGATGTGAGGAACTTGGAACTAGACAACTGATCTACTGAACAGCATTCACTCTGTCGATTCCAAGTACTTTTCAATTTAGCACACTGCTATCAACTCAGGTCACACATACGGAGGGTGATAAGGAAGAGGCTTTGAGAAATTAAACCCTGGGAGAGAGAGTCACTTAGAATTTGGGGCCTGAGGCACACTAGTCCCAGCCCTGGAGAGTCTCTCTGGAGTAGGAATAAAAGCAGGAGCCATGAACAGGACCCTGTGGTCACCAGTTCCAGTCATCTCCCAGCTCCTCTCCAAGGAGAACCCACCCAAAGCTTAGCAAACATATCCTCTCTGGGACACCATTCTCATATCATTCCCAATCTGCCTCCTCTACTAGAAGCCAATTCTAGGATTCCCCCCAGTTGAAGCTAGTTGTCCTTAAAAAACCAAGGAGAGGGCTGGGAATGTAGCTTAATGGTAGAATATAAGGCCTCAGACTAAATCCTCAGAATCACAAAAAGAAAAGAAAAGGAAGGGAAAGGAAGGGAAAGGAATGGAAAGGAAAGGAAAGGAAAGGAAGGGAAAGGAAGGGAAGGAAGGAAAGAAAAAAAAGAAGGGAAAGGAAAGGAAAGGAAAGGAAAGGAAAGGAAAGGAAAGGAAAGGAAAGGAGGCAAAACAAAAGAAAGAAAATCAAGGGACAGACAGTGCCTATAAGCCCAGGGGCCCCTCAGGAAGATGGCTGCTCTGGACAAGGGCTACCTAAAAATAGCCAACTGCTCCAGGGCACTGACTGACAGCATCTCCCTGGGCACAGCTGGGACTGTGTGGCCCAGCACTGGGGGAACAGGAGCCAAGGAGACTGAATGTCCCCAGGGGGCTTAGACAAAGCTATTTTGAAGCCAGTTTATTGGGCAACCACAATGGTTCCCACGTGCTTTCTTGGTGACCCTCAGAGACACTTGGTCCAGGGAGATGATGGAGATGGCAGCTCAGGACAAAACTGATTTCATTAAAATTGGGAACCAGTGGAACAAGGTACAACACAGAGAAGCAGAAGACAAAACAGTTAGAATTTCATGGGAGGCCTTTAGCAAGACTGTGTGGGCTATAGCTGGGAGCTCCCCTGGTTCTAAGGAGCCTTGGGAGTCCTTCTTTCACTTGAGCGCTTGGCTAGAAAAAGGTGCCAGGAGCTGATAGCAAATGAACCCAGTCTTTCTCTAGGTGGACAGGTTCTGCCATGCAGGCAGGACTGAGATGTGCCTGAAGGAGACACATGGATCCAGATTACCAGCTGTCCTAGAGGACCTGTCCACTCACATTTGTGGCATTGGTGGGTTGTCCCTTCCCATTGGCTGAAGCCTGGGGTAATGCCAACTACTCAGCCCTGCTGTGTGTTTAGAGAGGTTCCGTGCCACAGTATTCCACAGAAAACAGTGTCCCCATGTCTTGAGTAGCTGTCATGTGAAAATGACTCAGATTCTGCTTATATCTAGTGACGAACTATTTACTACATGCCCCAAATATGTTCGACTCCATCCTTTAAAAAAAAAAAAATGGATTATCTAGTTGGTCAGATTACAAATGGTCACCAACCAACAATCATTCAACTTGTGATCTTTCAACTTTATGATGGTGTAAAAGTAACCACACAGGAAACATTACAAAGAATCAACAACTGGGATCTCATCTTATTAAAAAGCTTCTAGCCGGGGATTTAGCTCAGTGGTTTCGCCTCCTGCTTCACAGGCACAAGGACCCAAGTTCTGCATAGCAAAAGAAATCACCAACAGAGTAAAGAGACAACTCACAAAGTGGGAAAAATTTTTAGCCAGTGGTTCCTCAGACAAAGGACTATTATCTAGAACATATAAAGAACTGAAAAAAATCAGACTTCCCAAATGTAAAGACTCAGTCCAAATATGGACAACTGAGATAAATACACACTTCTCAGATGAAGAAGTAGAAATGGCAAATAAATACATGAAAAAATGTTCAACATCACTGGTCATTCGAGAGATGCAAATTAACACAGATGCTGAGATTTCGTCTCACTCCAGAAAGAATGGTTATTATCAGGAAATCAACCAATAACAAATGCTGGCGGGCTGTGGGGAAAAGGAATCTTTTTCCCCTGTTGGTGGGAATGTAGACTGGTGCAACTGCTGTGGAAATCAATATGGAGATTCCTCAAAAAACTAGAATTAGAGGTCTTATTTGACCCAGCTATCCCCCCTCTGGGTATCTTCCCCCCCAAATTAAGAGTATCATGCCACAGTTATATATGTGCACTCACATTTATAGTGGCACAGTTTGTAATAGTTAAATCTTGGAAATAATCCAAATGCCCATCAACCAATGAATGGATAATAAAGATTTTTTTAATATAGTGGAGTATTATTCAGCCATAAAGAAGGATAAACTTGAGATATTTCTAGGTAAATGGATGCACCTAGAGGCCATACTCTTAAGTAAAATAAATTGGACCCACATGTGTAAATATCGCATTGTCTCTCTGGTGTGAGAAACTGAAAGTATAAATAAGGACAAAAATATATAATACATATTGTGAAATAGGAAGAAATTATTCAAAATTATACCTAGTGTGAGATACTTTGTTAATAATTAAAATGTTTTATACAAAAAAGGTAAAATATTAGGAAATTAGTTGAGAGATAGATTAGTAATTGTAAATATATTTTTTTAAGATCATTATACACTGTGTATTTACCATTGTTATTCTCTAATTATTTTTGTTATGAAAAATTATTTTTCCATAGAACTTTTATATTTTCTTTATTAATATCTACTTATATTAAAATAAAAAAGAAAGTAAATACTGCACATTCAGTAGAAACCATACTTCAAAATTTGAATTTTAATCTTTTCCTAGGCCAGTGCTATCAGGTATGATACTTTCTGGCAATGCTGGACACTGGCAGCAAACCACAGCTCCCAGTTAACCACATAACCAAGAGGGTGAAAATTCATACTATAGTGTACTGTGTTGCTAAAACATGATGTTCAGTAGGTTAGAGTATCAAGTCCTTTTTTTTACCTTTTTTTCCCCCCTCTCATACCAGGGATCGAACTCAGGACCTTGCACTTGCAAGGCAGGCATGGCACCACTGAGCTAAATCCCTAGCCCAAGTGCATTTTAACGTATGATATTTTCAACTTACAATGGGTTTATTGGGCCATAACACCATCTTAAGTCAAGGGACATCTATATAGAGGAAAAATATTAATGACATTACAGTGTAACAAACAATAAGAAGCAAACAAGTGTTGCTATAACAGGTTGTAAGAGTTTCAGGAAGGGAAATGTCACAGAGTCCAAGGGTTTTCAGAGAAGGCTGGCTTCATGGAGGATCTAGGGCACATATAAACTGTGAAAGCATCATTGCAGCATAGGAAAAAAGGTGGAAGCAGAGATTCAAGAGTGGAAGCAGGTATGGTACATGGAAACCAAGGCAGATATCTACAGGATGCATGGACTCTAAAGGGGGTATTAAAGGAATGAGGTGGAGAGATAAATTGGAGACAGCTATAAAGCTCAAGAAAGTTCATTCTTAATCCAGGGAGCAGTAGGTGTTGTCAGGGATTTAGGAGGGGATTCAGGAAGAGGAGCTGGAGGAGGAGAATGCTAAGTGATATTTTCCAAAAGTCAGTCTTGATGTAGTGTAGGGTCGATTTCAGGTAGAAAGACTAGAGACAGGAAATCACCTCGAGGGCCCTGATCAGGTCATGAAGCAGAAAAACAAGGGAGGAGAGGGAAAGTGGATAGTGACTCCACAATTTCCAGACTAGAAATTTTGATCAAGCAAAGCTTGCTAATAACCCCTGTCAGATGACTTCAGCAACCTAATTAATGGCATTTTTTTGAAAGGTTCCACAAGAACGAGGCTAATGCCAGGAATTCAAACATTGGAAACCAGAGTTTTGGGGGCACATTGTTCCATCTCACTGCTCACTTCCTATGCACAGGACAGAGCTGGGGTATTGCCATGTGCCTGGAAAAGCCCCTCAGGGCATGAGAAAAGAAAACCTTCACCATCCAAGCAGACTGCCAGCTCCAGCCATCCAAGTCCATGGAACCCTCCCATTCTTGCCTTGGAGAGCTCTGTCTTGTTTTCCTGGAGTCCCCACACATGGGAGAGGCCTGTTCTCCCTCTACTGCAGCCAACCCGAGCCTTGTTGATGGGAGTCAAAATTTTGATTTAATCTTTAATTTGATGTCATGTTTAATTAGGTCTTCCCAAGCTTTCTAAGATTTCTTACCATTCTCATGATGTGGGGACCACAGTCCCTTAGTAACAGCCATCCTTCTCTAAAATATGCTCTGGTCCTCAAATGTCACTGTGCTGATTATCTACTACTTTGTGACTCAGTTTGTCCTCATATTCTCCCCTATACTATCCTTGCCCTTGCCCCCCACAAAAAAGAAATGCAAGAACAAACAGGCTGAATATGTGGGCATCCAGATGAGAAGAGGGCACCTGACAGCCCTCCCTCTTTTACAGAGCTAGGAGAGGCCAGTTGGGCTGCATGGGGAAGGTCAGAGCTAGGAAATCCTTCCAGTTGAGGATTAAACTCCTCATCATGGCATTAAGGCTGTCTCCAGTTTACCTTCCTTACCCACCTTTTATTTCTCCTCCATGTTTGCCTGAGAGTGAGAGGTGTGCCCTGACATTCACAAGTCTTTGTCTTTGTTCAATACATATGACAAACTTCATTCTGATGCTTTGAAGCCCTTATCTTATAGAGTCTCAGAATTTAGACATGGTGCTATCTGTGCAGTTCAAACACAACTGAATTTCCCACTTATGTCTCAAAGTTTAATATACATGAAGCACCAAGCTAGGCCATTAGAACTAACTCAGGGCAGAGAGGGTGAGCCTATCCCAGCACCCAGAAGGAAGCTCCCCCACTGCCATCCCAGGCTCCCAGGGCAGTGAAGCTCAGCTGGTCCTAGCACCTGGAAGGAAGCTCCCTGCCTCCATCCCAAGCTCCTAGGGCAGAGAAGGTGAGCCTCGTGGGCACCAGAAGCACCGCCCCCCCCCCATGGTAATGAGAAGACACATAAACAAGCCTCAGAAACAGACTTCTGGATCACCTACAGCAACCCCAAAGGGAAACGAGATGGAACA